GCGGCTGATCTGAGGGGATCGGGGGCAATGGGACCGGGGAGCAGGACAGAGGGAGTGGGGCAGCTGGGAAGATGGAACCGGGGAGCAGGGCAGAAGGACCAGGGAGCAGGGCAGAGGGATTGGGGTGCAGGGCAGTGGGACCGGGGGCTCTGGGGGAGATGGGGTAGAACTGCGGGGCAGCTGCAAGGGTCAGGGACTGGAGGAGGTTTGGGGCGCTCACAGAGACACAGGGAGGTTCGGGGTGCAACTGGGGATATCAGAGTTCATCTGGGAGAGCTGAGGTGTGGGATTAGGGGGCCAGAAGGGCAAATGCAGAGGTCAGAAGAGCTGAGGGGCAGTTTGGTATGCCGGGGCAGCTAGGGGAGGTGTTTGTGTGGAACTAGGGGAGGTATTTGTACAGCTCAGGAGAACTGGGGGAGAAACTGGAGGTCCTGGGGGCGACCAGGGACAGGAGGATAGAGGCAATTGCCCCTCTGGGCAGCCACAGTGGCGTCCAAGACCCCCATTGCTATCTCAGTCCCAGCTTCTCTGCAGGGTCAGCGCCCAGCTGCAGCCACGGGCTGTCCCTTCTCTGTCCCCAGTGCCCTTGCTTCACCGTTTGATGCCTGCTGGCTACCACACGCACTCTTATTCACAGCTTGCCACGAGTATCTCCAACTGAGAGATCTCCAAGGCAGTAAAACCCAACCCAGAGTTAAAATGTCCCGGGAGGTCAAAAGCACAGCCTCAGAACATCATTACTGCTGCTTTGTGGGATTGTGCACTGGATCCCACAGAATCCAGCCATTGGGGTGCTGGGAGGAGGTTGGAGATGAGAGAAACAGAGGACAAATCCTCATAAAGCCACAGTGTAAACACTGATGCTGGTCCCCGTCCTGGAGTGGATTTTGGTATGCAGACCCTCATGGATCTCTCTGCAGTGCCCACTCCCTGCCTGGATACAGGCTGGACAGGGAAACTCTGGGTCAAGGTCATGACTTTAGAAATTCTTAAATTATTTTAGGTTTAAGCAATATTTTAACATGATCACCTCATAGGTGATGTAAATAGACGGTGCTCTCTGACAGTGCCTGAATCCATCAGCTGCACTGAGACATTATCACCTCCATCCCAGCAAGAAGCAGGTTTGGAAGAGGATGCACTGGAAAAACAGCTCTTCCTTCCCTGCAAAGGCCACTGGTTTGAGGCACAGATCCATTTATTTCTAGGAGAGCTGGCAGACACATCCCAGTTGGCATTTCCTTGTGCATTGGCCAAGCTCTGGCCGGCAGCGGCATCCCTGCCCTGCATGCCAAGGAGGGCTCTAAAACGCAGCACTCAAGAAGGGATCCTGCCGTGCTGAATGTGACGACCTCCTTTTCCTCTTCTTTAGATTGTTTTTACCAAGGCTCTCTGGCACCTCTATCAATGTGCCATTATACTGGTGGATAGGGAGGCAGCAATCACGTGCAGCATTTCAAGGAGGGTGTTTTTCCCCTCTGTGGCTCTGTTTGGGGTGAGCGTGGGTGTCAGTGCCAGCCGTGCGGCGGGTCCCCCCTCCCTCCTGCTGCTTTGGGTACCAGAGCACAAAGGCAAAGCGCTGCCGTGAACTCAGGCACGCAATGGGGTGTTGCTCTAGGCCAGCAAACACTGCTGTCCTCTCAGGGAAAATCGCAGAATTCTAGAATAGTTTGGCTTGGAAAGGGCATTAAAGATCATCCAGTTCCAACCCCTGTGCCATGGGCAGGGACAAAATCCCCAGCTCCTCTCCCAGCAGTGCTGAGCATTGCTCTGCCAGGCTCTTCAAACCCAAGCAAGCAAAATGGGGGGGAAACTGAGCTTACAGACCTTTTTAAGCTGGTAAAATTGTAAATAGATGGAAATTTCAACTTCTTGCTAAATATGTATGATTTGAGCTGTAAATATTATTTTGAATCACTAATTATGGTATTGGGTTTGGCACGTCTGCAACACAATTAAATTACAGCTGCCACTTTGAATCAGCTGGCTCTGAAAGTCTTAATATTGAAATCATGGCTTTTAACACTCATTTCCCTTCGTTTGAAAGCCCATCATCTATAAAATTAAATTAAATGTATTTATAAATAAAATAATAAAATATAATAAAATTTATTTACATCCAAAGGTACAGCATCCAGTCCTGAGTCCTGAGCAGTGCTCAGGACAGGGGTCCTTCCCTTTTGCAACCTTTACAAGGGGGGAAATCCCATAAAATCCTCATTAAACCCCCGGGTTTCACTGCTGCACAGACAGGGTCTGCTTTGCAGCCAGGATTAGTGTAACTGCAGTTGAGGGATTATTCAGCTTCTTCACTAGAACACAGGTCTTAAAATCCAGCAAGAAATCATCACCATCCTCCTTCCTGGCTACTCTGCACAGGCTTGGCAAGGCAATGCACTGTGACCAGTGTTTGCTCTGTTCTAGCTCCTACTTACTATAATTGTTATACTATAATCATTCACTATCATATTGTTTAAGCCACTATGATTTCATATAATACATATTATATAATAAAATATAATAAATTAGATATAGATATGGTTTTATATGTAGATATAGATACAGATATAGATTATATAATCAAACACACTTGGCACAGGCTGCTGGCTTTCTAGGCAGGCTGCATGGAGAAGCTGGACCTGACAGCACAACAGGTATGAAGACTGTCACATACCCAGAAGATGATTCTTTAAAAAGACTTTAAATGTAACCAAAAATTCACTATGCTTTTATCTGCCTGGCAGAGGAACGCTGAGGAGCGCTCAGATATTGAGTTTGGGAAAATGCTGGCAAAAACAACCATCCCCATCCTTCAAGGAGGGGGATAATGGCTGGAGGGAGTGGGGAGGGATGAGCAATTGCATCTGCACACTTAAATACTCCTTGAAATGAAGAATGAGCCTGATTGCAGGGGCTTTTCTCTTTTGCCATCCCAGATTTGCTGCCCCAGCTAGAGCAGCATTTCTCCCCTCCATCCCATGCCCATTCCTGGGATGGGAGACACTTCTGGAAGGGGATATAAAGAGCAGTTGTGCCAGATCCTGCCTCTACAGCTACACTGCTCTCGGGGAAGAAAGGATCTGGCACAGCAGCTGCATGAATCATTCCCAAGATAGACAACAAGGATCTCTGGATCTCAAGAGCAGGGTTTAAAGACATCAAGGAAAATATCACATCCTTTTATTTCACACCTTTATACTGAGGGGGACGATGTTTTCTTTGCAAGCTCAGGCAAGTGTGTACTTGACATCCCAAGGAATTACTCATCCCCTCTACTCTTGGCTTCTAATTAGCAACTAAAGGGGAATATAATAATTAAATATGCCCAAGGTAACGATACTTGGAAACTTTGGGTCACGTTTCAGCCAGGGGAGGCGGTGAGTAGTTGGAGCAGGTGAGTTTGAAGTCTGTGGGAACCTGA